GGTAGCCACAACGCTCAACAAACCATTCTTTATTTGATTTTATGACACAAGATTATGATATTTTATGACACACACAAAGATAAATTTTTTTTTCTTTCTTTTCACATGAATAATATATTCTTTTTTTTGAAAAATAATTTTCGCAAAAAAAAATATCCAAAAAATTTAGAAAAAAAAATTATTTAAAATAACTTTCATTTACAATAATAATAATAATAATAATAATAATTAAATTTTTTAATTAACCATTGATTTTTAAGTGTAATTTATTTTTTTTATTTTTATTCAATTTTCTAGTTTCGTCATTTATAAAAGAGAATATTTTTTTTTCTTTTCTTCTTTTCTCCAAACCTTTAAAGAAAAATTCATTTCCCAGAAACCGATATTTTTAAACAAGTTTTGAAGTTGCGGATATATATAGAGGTCAAGAAGAAGTTTTTTTTTCTCTCTTTTTTTTTCTTTCTATGACTTTTGCCTCTCGCAAGCTTTCGTCGAATTTCCCAAGATACTGACTTGGATTAAGAAGTAGAAATATAGTGTACGCTTTTGAAGCTCAATGAGGAAATGCACCTTCTACTTGAGGGAAACGAGAAAAATGAGAGACTTTGAACAAAGTGATTTCTTATGAGGTAAAAAATAGAAAAAAAAGATTTCATACAAAAGATACGATATGACGTTCTTTTTTTTCATTATAAATTCAAAAAGAAAATTTTTTTTGTAAGGTTTTAGAGGGGAAATTTATTTTTTTCATATAGATTTGAAATTAATTTTTTATCATTTTTTTTCTCCGTTTTGGTTTTTTTTTAAATATTTTTTTGAATTTTCCACCTTTTGACTTAATATTACATAATTATTCTTGAGTAAATTTTCCACCTATAACTGAATTTTCAACCTGTAACTGAATTTCCCATCTTTTATTTAAAGTTCCACTATTAGATTTGCTAGTTTTTTTTCCAATTTTTACTAATTTTTTAACCTTTTTACCATTAAATTACTTTCCCACCTTTTAGGATAATTTTCCACTTTCGAATGAATTTTCCTAATTTTATTTTAGTTTCCAATTTCCCATCTTTGGCAATACCTTAAAATTTTAGGTAATTTCCTACCTTTAATTGAATTTTCAACCTGATTTTCCAATCTTTTACTAAATTTTCCACCTTTGAATTATCCTATTTTTTACCTTTAAATTATTTTTTCACCTTTTTGTCAATTTTCCATTTTTGAATGAATTTTCCAACTTTTATTTTTACTGTTAATTGATTTTTCTACATTTTGAATAATTTTCTTACTTTTAACCATAAATAATTTTCTAACCTTTTGCACAATTTTCCACCTTTGAATAAATTTTTCCAACTTTTTACCGTTAAATGATTTTTTTCCACCTTTGAATGAATTTTTCCAACTTTTAACAATTAAATGGTTTTTTCCACCTTTTTACACAAATTTCCACCTTCGAATGAATTTTCCTATTTAATTCTAGTTGTTTTTTCCATCTTTGATACAACTTTAAACTTTTTTTAGGGTAAATTTCCCACTTTCGATATAATTTTTTACCTTCTAATTTTCAAATTTTTTTAATAACTTTTCCAGCTTACTATTAATTTCCCAATTTTTTTTCTAGTTATTCTTTATATTTATACAAATAAATAATAAATTATTATATTTATAAAAATATAATAGTACTGCAAAAACGATGGAAATAAAATTAAATTACAACGGGATTCGAACCAAGATTCAACGATTCGTAACGAACGGGCGCCTTAACGCACGCGGCTAAATTGACAATTTAATTTTTTTTCCACTTTTATCGATTTCTCCACTCTATTAACTTGTTTTTTCGCTTTTTTTTGATCGATTATCAATCTCTAGACAAGTATACATCAATTTTCATCGATATTTGTCAAAAAAAAAAATACCTCAACTATATTTGGAAAATTAACCGATATTTTTCACATTTCGGATGAAAAATAGTGTGATTTTGTTATTAATGTATTTTGTGTACACCAGGTAGAGTATATAGAATATCATGGAAAGAGGAAAAAAAAGAAAGAGAGAGAGAGGGGGGAGAGAGTAAAGAGAGGGGGGAAAGGGTCTTGAAACGCAGCCTGCTCCCGTATGCCATTCCTTTCTTTGCACGCATATGAGACGCGGGGTTCACACACGCACCTCTTTACTACCCACCCTCCCCTCCCCCCTCTTTACCCCTTCACCTCGAGCACTTATCTCACTCTCTCTTTGTCTCCGATTCTATCTCACTTGGACCTAGACGCTTTGGCACGCACCGGTCCTTATCTCTTCCTTCTCCTCCTATATACATTCGCTCGTCGATCAGACTCTCTCTCTCTCTCTCTCTCTACCCCCACTCCACTCGGGCAAGTATCCCGACCGCCAGACCATCTTATCTCTGTCTCTCTCATTCCATTTCACAGACGGTGAAGGTATCGAGTAAAGAAAGAGTGAGATAGAAATTTTTGTGTCTCTCTCTCTCTCCTTCTTTAACGTACGGGATGCTGCGAGAGACTTCCAGGTCTGGAGCGCGGAGTATATAGTAAGGTTTGTACAGGTATGCACGCGGTGGGTTGGCCGGGGCATTCCTGCGGCGTTGCCGTATTTCTTACTCACTGGCGACGAACAAATGTGCAAGAGAGAGAAAGAGAGACTCGCCACGACTCTGAACCATTTTGTAGAGGCCAATCGAGTTTACGCCTGGTCTCTCTTGAATTCAACAGGGAATTTGGTCACACCGATGTGGTTTTTCGACTCGAGGTCATCAGACGCATTTAAACCATTTTCATCCACCGGGGAATTTTATTATTTTTTCTTTTCTATGTTAAAAATATTATTGAAAAATTGATAATTTTTTCTTTAATAATAATAATAGTAGTAGTAGTGGTAGTAATAGTATTAACGGAAAAACGTATTAATTTAGAAAAGAAAAAAATTGAACAAAACTATTTCGTAATTTTGTTATTATTTTTTTTTTGCAACATAAAGAAGAAAATAGAATTATTCTTCGTTCTAAAATAAATATTTTGAGATAATTTATTTAAATATATAAAAAAAATAATTACAATTTCTTTGTTCGCTTTCAATGAAAAATATTTTTTAACATGAACAAAACGAGGGATTTTTCTATTAAAAAAAAATAAAATAGCAACGGATATTTTATGATGAATTCTAAATAGAGAGAAAAAGAGAGAGAGAGAATACTTTTTTAATATCATTTGGAAAAATTTGAATTTCAAACCATTTTTTTCACTCTCGAGTAATAAACAGAGAGCTTCAGTATTATGTATATATATATATATGTTGAATTGAGAGAATGAGCAATCAAAGAAAGTGCCCTTTCCGCGCATTGACGTGGGTTTGAAAGGGAGGGGGTAGATTTTCTTCGAATATCGAGCAAATGCGCCCCACTTTCCGCAAAATGGAAGATGAAAAGCAGACAAGAATTGAAAGCCCCACTGTAATTTAGCTTTAAGCTTATTCTATATACTTTTCTATGATGCGCTTATTGTAATTAATGGCGTCTCTCTTCCTCTCTCTCTCCCTCTCTTTCTTTCCCTTTTTTTCTGTTATATATTGTTTTTACAACCGCAAAAATTTTTACGATACAAAAAAAAAAATATTTACAAACAGAAAAAGAAAAAAAAATATTTCTACAATATAAAAAAATAATATAGAGAGAATGTAGAAAAGAAAATTACAAAAAAAATTGCATTGTAACTGAATATAATTTCCGATATTTTATTCTGTCTCCCTCTCTCTTTCTTTTTCTCTTTTTTTCTTCCGCGTACAATTTCGCGTTAAGCCAATGGATTTTTAATTCCAAACAGCGAACCCTTAATTTTCGGAAGATTGGCCACATTAGGAAATTATCAGAATCTTCGCGAAAACGGTATTCAAGAGAAAAAGTACGAAAAAAAACTTTGATGTTATATATATATATATAGATATATATACTAAACAGAAAAAAATCCCCGAGGCTTGATTTCTTGTTTCGTTTTTTTTCAAACTGTCCCCTCTTAAAAAATATATATATATATATATATACAATATGGAAAACAAAAAATCCCGTGACCCATAATGGGATGACCACACGAATTTTTTTTTTAGATTCAACTTTATAAATATTATGTGTCGGCCCTTGGAATCTGTCGATTAAGGCGGGGTCCATAATCCATCTACTAAATGGTTTTGTGGCATAATTTTTATTTTATTTTTTTTGTTTTCTTGCTCAAAACCACATATATATATATATATATTTTAATGCAAAATAATTTTTAAATTACACGTTATAGAGGAAGAAAAAAAGTATAAAAAATTGTCCCCATAAATTATTAAAAATTTCCCTGTCATTTTTTTTGGAAATATTTTTAGTTTTTGAATTATTTTTTATAATATGCCAATTAAAGAGTAAATATATATTTTTATTTGATAAATATTTTTAATAGGCGTTTTTGTAGTCGCTTTATTTTCTATACAAATACTTTTGCCATTTGTAAGAGTGGTGATAGTGAGATACGCCTACTTTCAGTAGGCGTGTCAATAACTAGTCACGCCTACTTTAAGTGGGTGTGGCAAAAATTAGCCACGCCTACATTCGTTACAAGTAGATTTAATGGAAGTAGCATTTAAGAATGAGAATTCAAACTGCGACTACTTTCAATGGGCGTGGCTGCATTTAGTTACGCCCACTTCAAGTGGGTATGATCATAATTTGCCACGCCTTCTTTCTTTGCGCGTAGGTTTGGTGGGTGTTGCGTTTAAGAATAAGATGATTAACTACGCCTACTTTCGGTGGGCGTGGAGATAGCAAGTCCCTCCCATTTTTCCACGTCTACGTACATTACGCTTTAAATACGAAAACGTATGTAAAATATTTTTTTAAAATTCGATTATTATTATTTTGTAAAAAAAATTTAAAGGAGACTAAAAAAATTTTAATAAAAATTAAAATGTTGTGTAAAATAAATTATTATTTATTTTTTTTCGCTTACCTTGTTCTGCACGTGTCGCTCGTGGGGAAAATAGAAGAAGCAATAATAATAGAAGATGGGCGGCGACACAGGTGCTGCTGCTGCTGAAGAAGAGGCCTGCACCCGCCATATTGATGGGTGCTATTCTTCAAAAACTGCACAGCCTTACCCGGCAACTTAGGCCGGGGTTCCTCCTCCTCCTCTCGATCGCCTCGAGGCTCACCCCCCTCTCGCTCACTCACTCTTTTCTCCTCATCTCATCCCTATAATCTAGGCAAACCCCCCCGGTTTTGAGATCAAATTCACTTCCCTCCGTTATGGACCACAACAACGACGTCCTCTTGACGCGTGCACGCATCTACCACCCTTTCAACTATTTTTTTGAAGGACACTCATTCAATGAGGATGCCTCATCTTTTTTTTTTAATTTTTATTCACAAATAAAAAAAACACTTATCACTATTTTCACTAACACTAATTTTTGTTTACCAATTCTTCACAGTAATCCTGAAACAAAAAAAGAAATTTATTATTATTTTTAATTGCAAAAATATAATTTTTTTTTCATTACAAATAAATATAATTCAGTTCTTTTAAATAAAGGTGGGAAAATTTCTAAAATTGGAAAAATTTAGTTATAGGTGGAAAAAATAAAAAAATTGAAGCAAAATCTGAAATTACATTCAAAGAATAACAGACGAAAGAGGGTTGAGGGGTAGAAAAAAGGGGGGAGAGAAAAGCGCGAGGAAAGCACACTCAAAGAAGTCGTTGTACAAGGATCTTCAAAGTCCTTGATTTGAAGCCTCGGTTTTTGCCCAGCCATTGGGCTATAAGGTTTTCCGCTGAAAGAGCTTTTGGCTCGTGCATCATCGAAGCCACTATCTTTCTCTCTCTGTTTTCAAGTGCTGTCGGCAAACGAAACGCGCCCAAGACAATGATAATTAGCTCGCAGAAGCAAAATTTCTCATACCACGAGGAGAGTTCAATTGTTAGCCGCATTCTCTCTCTCTCTCCCATAGTGTTGAGTTTTCAATCTCTTTTTAAATATTTTCAAATATCTTCTTCTACTTTCAAAAAAAAAAAAAAATTCAAAATTAGGATAAAAAAAATTTTTAAAAAGAATTTTTTTCTTTATCAAAACTGTAGGCCACGCCTCTTTCCCCTCCTACTTTCCCAGGGGCGGAGCCTACGCAGAAACATCATTTAAGCCACGCCTCTGACTCTTCCTTCATTACGTTTACTAAGGGGCGGTACTTTTAATTTAACATATACCACGCCTCTCTCCTCTCCAACTTTCCAAGGGGCGGAGCCTACGAATTAGCATCAATTTGCTTTCGCCACGCCTCCAACCCTTCATACTTTCCAAGGGGCAATGTTTCCAATGTTTATAGAAACATTGATTGGCATCCACCACGCCTCTATCTCCACCTACTTTGTAAGGGGCGGAGCCTATGCAAAATCATCGGTTGGTTTAAGCCACGCCTTTGACTCTTCCTTCAGTATGTCGACCAAGGAGCGTGGAAGAAAAGGGGGCGTTACTTTTAAATTAGCAAATGCCACGCCTATGCTCCTCATACATTTCAAGGGGCGGATCCTACCCAGTAGCATTAATTTGCTTCCGTCACGCCTCTATCCCTTTCCACTTTCCAAGGGGCAGCGTTTATATAGAAGGAGCGGTATTTTAAAAATAGCATGCCACACCTTTATTTTTGCTTACTAAAGGGCGGAGCCTCTATTGGCTCTCGCCACGCCTTTATCCCCCTCCCACTTGTCAAGGGGCGTGGTCAAAGAACTAATGAGCGAATATTCTTCTTTTTGTAACGTTATTTCTTCTCAGCGTTTCTATTCTTCTTTTAATAAAATAATTGTATTATTAAATTGTCTCCCGCTATTCAAACACAATTAAAAATTTCATTTTTTGTATTTCTGTCTCTCTCTCTCAAAAAAAATATAAATACAAGTCCAAGGGACAATATCGTAATGATGAAAGTTGTTTGTCGCGTGGGAGTTGAAGAAGTACCTCTTTCACTCTATGAAAATAATTCCATCGAATCTAGGACGTGAATAATTAATGAGTATATCCAAGTGTTTTTTTTTTTTTTTTTGCTTTCTAACAAAGAATCTTCGCTTCTAAAAAAAAACCAGCTCGGTCATCTTTTCTCCATGATGCGTCTTTTTTTCAACACTTAGAATTGAGACAATTATTTCTCTGTATATTTTTTAATTATTTATAATAATTGAAAATTTAAAAGAAAAAATTGTGGGTATGGAAATATAGTAAAGGGATTATTTTTTTTTTTGATAATATTCTGCTGTTATTATTTTGTGTCTGCCTGTCTATCGGTCTGTGTGAGGTTGTTGCCAAACTATAATAAATTGAATTACGTTCAGTTCTACGTCTCTTCTCTTGCGCACGTTCTCTTCTTCTTCTTCGTTGTGGCGTTTCTGACTTCTAGACGCATCCTTTCAAGCTCTGGATTTCATTAGACGAGATGGCTCTTCAGCTTTTAGGGAGATTCGATTATGCACTCGCGCTCGACTACTTTACGAACCCACTTAAAAAGTCTTTCTTGTAATGCGGCTTCTTCTTCTGTTTTTTTTCCATTTTTTTTCGGTAAATTTCAAGATCCTTGCAGACCTTTCGACAAGTTTTCTTTTCAATCCTTCACTCTTTTTTTTTTGAAAATAAGATCCGAATTTTTGGAAAAAATTGAAGATTTTCTTTTTTTTTATTATCACGAAAAAAAAAGATTTACCTGAAACAACGAAATGTTTCACTAGAATAGGGAAATATTTAATTAAAATAAATAAAACTTTTGCTACTGCAGTGAAATGTTTCCCTGTTCCAGATAAATTTCTTTCCCTGATAAAATAAATAATAATTTTCCACAATAGAATTGGAATTATTTTTTTTTATTAAATAATAATAATAATTTTTCACACGAGATTTTTTTGAAAAAAAAAAATTTCTTTCTCTCTCAATTGGATTAAATTGTTGGAAATGTATTGAAAAAAAAATTTCCATTCAATTAGGCAAGGGGTAATAAAAATGAACAATGAACAAATTTTCCTCCATTTTTGTGAAAATTAAAACTTGTTAGAAAGGGGGGACACATCAAAGTCTTTGTCAATATATAATCTCTAACTGATCTCATTTCCTTTGACAAGTATTTAAAACGTATTTTTGCTGACTGTTCATATCTCTCTGTTCCGATAAATTCTGGGAAATTCAGGCGCAAAGAGATGAAAAAAGAAGGGTCGAAATGGAAGGGAGAGAATTGTGTATAGGGGGTTCTTTTATGTGGTTGTTGTCCATCTGCCATCTTTTTTCCTCTCAGCATTTGGCACGCTTTAAATATGCTTCGGGATGTCGAAACAATAATGATCCTTGCATATATAGTCCATCAAGTGTACAGGTGCCAAACGATCTCTTTCTAACCATTGTTTAATGTCTTATTTTGTTATACTCACAGTTTCATGTTTTGTCTGTTATATTTATTTTTCAATGTAAAAAAATGTAGTTTTTTTTGAGTGAAAAATATTTTTTTTTGCCTGGAAATTTTCTATTTAAAAAAAAAATGATTTTTCAACACAAATTTGTGTGTTGGAAAATAATTATCAAAAACGATAGTTTCTAAAATTTTAAAAACACGTTTTTTGATTTTTTGACCGGATTTTTGAGTTTTTAAAAAAAAAATGAAAAATGCAACTTGATACAAAAATTAGAAGGTATCAAATGATAATTATTAAAAACGATTATTTTGTGGATTTAAGACACTTTGCAGTTTTAGTAAAAACAATTTTCTTTTATTTTTGCCTGGAATTTGGCGTTTTTTCAAAAAAAGACCTATTTTTCTACAAAAATTTTTTGTGTGTTTGAAAATAATTAGCAAAAACAGTCACAGTTTGCAATTCCAGTAAAAAAAGGCAAATTTTTTTTTTTGCCCGGAATTGTTAAATATTTTCTTATTTTTTTGAATACTTCCAAAACAGCAGCAAAACAAAATTACAAATTTCTACCAAGAAAATCATTGGGAGAAATTTCGTAATTACAGAGAGAGAACCTAAAGGCAAACCAGTGCAAAAGCAAAGAAGAAGAAGAAGAAGAAGAAGAAGAGAACCATGTGGGGTTTTAGTCAGGGTAGAGATTGGCGGCTAAACAATAGAACTTGGAGGATTCCAAGGGCAAGGCCAAGTTTCATTATACGCAGAGAGAGAGAGAGAGAGAATTTCTAAGCTCAACGAAAATTTCGAGACGATACTCGCTCGACCAGTCAAAGGCAAAATACACAGAGGAAGATTATATGGCAAAGAGGAAGAAGTGAGGTGAAATGGAGGAAGGGGGAGAAGAGGGGGGTAGGGGGTTGTTAGTAAATAGGAGGGGACAAAAACGAGGTGATAGGAAGGGTTTGTGCAACGCGCAACATACAAAACTTTGGGGGGTTTATGTGGTGCGGAGAAGAAGTGGGAGAAAGAGTAAGGGAGAGGGGGGATGTGTCTGAAACTTGAGGGCCAAGGGGTGAATGAGGAGAAAGAGGAGAAGGAGGAGGATTGGGAGAGAGAGAAGTGCGAGAAAGACGCGCAAAGGGTGAATTTCAGGATCAATACCACGCGTTTTATCTCTCGTACTCTATCTTTTCTCAACGTTCTATCTTTAACCAACCAATGGTAATACCACCCTCCACCTCTCTTCTATGTAATGTTAACCCCCCTCTAATTTACCATTAAAAAAAAATTTTCCTTTTACTTTTTTTAAATTTCTTATCCCCCCCCTCCAATTTTCGTAAATTTTCCCCTACTTTTACTTTTTTTCCACCTAAATTCCTTAGCCCCCCCCTATATTTTTTCCATAGCCCCCACCCCTTTCTCTCTCTCTCTCCAAACCCTCAGGGTCTGACCTGTCTCACCATTTTTTTTCACTATAAAGAATAGTACCCTCAAAGTAGTAAAGACACAATTGAGACGTTGGAGGAAGAACCCTCCCCCATGGGGGGTACAGGAGGAGGGGGGGTAAGAAAAAAATTCTGTAAAAATAGAATCAAATAGTTGATAGCTAATTCGAAAAGAGAGGAAAAGGGGGAGTAAACCCCCCTTTTAGGGTTAACCCCCCTTTAAGGGTGGGTTGACCCGTTTTAGATGAGCAAAAAAAAAAAGAGTGGTACAAAAATTTCTAGAGTCTACTGTAAAATAGTTAGTAGGTCGCTTACTGTAGGGAAGGGGGTGAAAGAAGGGGGGAGAATTATGTGTGAATGGGATAGGTTAGGAGAAGGTTGGGGGGGGGGGAGTTTGGGCAGGTGGGGAAGGTTAGGAGAGTAACGGGAGTGAGGCAGAAAAATGTAGAAAGAGGTTCTTCTAAAGCGGGCAAAGACCTTCTCTCTCTCTCTCTCTCTCTTTCTCTCTAAGTGTATATGTATATATATATATATATATATATACTCTCCTTCCCCCCACCCCTATATCTCTCTAGACACACAGGAGGAAAAACGTACCAAGATGCATCCATAAAA